GGACAAATGCCACCTAGGACAAATGCCACCCAAATAAAAATAAAAACCACCAACACAATAACAATTTAAAAAGTCAACATTACTATGAAATCAAAACTTTACATGAAAATCAACTTTTTTATCAAAGTGAATATATAATTTTTAAGAAACCAAATTATTCATCAAAGTCTACATAATTTTACAACAAAATCAACATTAAAATCAATATGGGTGGTAATTGTCCTCTCTGTAATGGTAAAATAACTGGGCGGCATTTTTCCGGGTGGTTTTTGTCCGGGTGGCTTTTGTCCTGCTCCCCTTCCGAGTTACATCTTGTTTTCATAGACGATTCTGTCGTAATTGCCTGGTGTCGCTGGGCCTTATTTGTATGAGCCAGCCGCTAGTGATAGTGAAAACTATGATCAGCCTCGCTTATCTCCGGTTACGGTTAATTTCTTCAACCTAAACAGTGCGACGTTATTTGAAAATTTCCTGGTAGTTCTTGTCTGATTGTATTAAAGTATCAAAGCAGTGTGGGCTTTTGCAGGTATTCTAATGCCTGGATGGTATAATGACTGATCATAATTGATCTCATTTCTGTGGGGCTTTTACCTCGATATTTATTCACGTCATGTAAAAAATATGATAGTATAATATTAAAAAATGACATTTGATCTATTTGAATCAAATAAAACTAAACAACCCCACTTTGCCATTGCTAGAAGACTCTGAAAATTTACTTAGGTAAATAGGTACATACAGTTTTAGCACACAGCAAATGCTTATATGTATTTCTTATGCAACAATAGAAGTTCTGTCCGTATTCTCAAAATAGTGTTGGCCCATAGGTTTTCACATGCAATTAAAATTGCATGCAATGAAGAAATTAATACTCCCTTCTTGTAACCCGTGTTAGGTGGTATAAACCTACATATGTTATTTGTCATCATTCACTTGATGGTCAGTTAATGAATTTAAAACAGGTATAATTAGTGGTAACACCACTTAGATAACCCGACAAAGGGTTCCATTTGGCATTTCTTGTGTCTGGAGTAAATACTCAACATTATAAACATCTATCAAAGGATTAACCGATAACACTATGATTGATTACTTTTATCTTATACAGCGGATTTGTCAAAAGGTAGTGTTTATGTATGTAGATTTACTAATCTATACTGAATACACTCTGTCGTGTCTGTGTCTGCGTAAAACAACTTCCTTCTTTCAAAGGATTAACCGCCAAGACATTGATTGATTGCTCATTATTGGCTAACTAAATTACTTTTTGTTTAAACAAACGGCGGACATTATGCCATTAGTTCCCAGGTATGCTATCTTGGGTGACCAATGAGACTATATACCAATGTGAAATACCTGAAACGATATATCACTTTTCATAAACATGTATGAGACTGTTAAAAGACACATCATTTGGAACAGCTGCAGGTGCATCGCATATCACTCGTTTTTGTGGATATTGATGGATACATTCCTCAAACAAAGTAATAGCCTGACATTGTTCTTATAACTCTAATCTGTTTTAATTTTAATAATTGCATTTTGTTTTTATTCATTTGTCGTAGCATTCCACAGAATCATTGTTTTCGTCGTGACGTAAAGAGACAGACGGTGTCTGCACAGGACGTCGACCCTTGGGTGAAATGTCACGGTTCAGTTAAGAAAAAAGGTCCACGTCCTGTCCATTTGACCTTATACCAATTAACAGGGGATTAGAAAAGACAAAGAAATAATCCAGTGTTTTCACAAGGCGATAATCCAGATTATGCGGTTGAGAACACAGACAACAGGAGAAAAGTACTATAATTCGTCCATTTTATTTCGTATACAAAATCATCTGACATGAAGTAGGTGAGATGCACCATTTGCAAACTGGTTCATCTGAAAGATAGTAAAAGTAGATTTATTATTTCTTTTTACACATTCTTTTACACAGACCACGTTACACCACTCTACTGCTATATATAAATTGTTAGAATTGTTAACAAAATCTATTAAACGAAATGCAAAACATGGTCACGTACATTATTCAGATTTGATATATCTATTTTACTTTTATATCCTTAGTAACAGATTGATATCAGGCATTGACAAGATGCTTACCTTTATGTCTACTTGGACACGGGGATGAGCATGGTCACCTTTCACCATCGTCACATTGTCATTGACAGTTGACGCAGTGAATTTACACTTCTTTTCTGTGCACTTCCAGGATATCCAATTTCGCTTCACTCATTAATCCACCAACACACAGGTATCTTCCACCACTGGATGTAACTGTCTATTTGCCATATCGAAATTGAATGCAATCTACCGCGTGTTCCTTCCTTAAATATGTTCATCATTGTGAATTCACTCTCATATGTATGATGACATGTTGAGTGAACTATGTTCACGCCTTACACGATGCTCCGGTTATGGAAAATCTTAAAACAACACCTACTAGCGGATTAGCGTGACTCAAGTAACACCTTCAACATCAAAGTTTACCGCGGGTCGACTTCGTGTCCATAGCGAAATTTCAAAAGGTCGACTTCTTGTCCATACACTAGGGCGTGTGTGCGAATTATGATTTACATTGGCAAACTATAAAATGTCTAGATATTCAAGTTATAAGAAAAGGCAGATCGCCTGATTTTTATTTAGTTTCAAAATGCATACAAGTATGATAATAAACTAATTAGGATTATAAGACCAAATATAAAGACGCACATTGACTAGTATCTACATACTGGTGAGTGGACGTTAACCACGTGAATGTAGTAAGAAATTTATTGCGCAGTATTGTCACTTCGACCCCCACCTCGCTTCCGAGGAAGAAATCGTTATGTTACAAGTTGTGTCATGCCAAATCCTGTTGGCCATGATTCCAATACATATTTAACTACGAATGGAAAGTAGTTTTGATTTTCTAACTTGATGAAAACAAACCATAATCTCATTAATTCTTTAACAGACTTTAACCCGTGATGTTACGATTATTAAAAATGGCAGCGCCCTATCGTGAACATCCGCCAGTCTGAGAATAAATGCTATTTAGGTTTGTTTTCACCGAAAGTTAAAATCAAAACTACTTTCTACTGGTAGTAAAATATGTATTTGATTGATGCCCAATAGGATTTTGCATGACATATCTTATAACATAACAATTTCTCTCGTGGAAGCGAGGTGGGTGTCAATATAACACTACTTACAATATTATTGTCACTTCACCAAAACCTCGCTTCCGAGAAAGAAATCATTATGCTTCATGTTGTGTCATGGAAAATCCTTTTGGTCATCAATCATATATATATTGTACTACAACTAGTAAGTAGTTTTTGTTCTTTAACTTCCGCAAGCGATCTGAACACATTTAAGATATCGTTCCAAGCTTCCACAACGCCGCTTAGACTCACAAACATAACCCATTCAGCACGAACTACGGGTCCGGTGGAAATTAGTTCATGGTGACACCATCACTCGACCCCCCTAGAGGGCAATGCAACGATTGACGGCAACGCAAGCGATTCGTTTTGCTTTGAGTAGGTTTCGTTGTTCAGACCATCCTTTAATGTTGGAATATGGGCTTAAAAAGTAAATATAAAACAACATGAGCGATTCTGCCCTCTGTGTATTGTACTTACCATTGAATCAGAGTACCAATTCTTTTATGAATGTTCATTTTACTGTGATCTGAGAAACAGACTGCTCCCACAATACTAGATAAATAATTCATGTGAAACTAAATTTATCAACTTATTATTGTCTTGCAATTCTACAACTGTTAACAATCTTGCTAAGTTTATATTTCTTGCATTGACAAAAAGAGCGAAGTTTTTGAATATGGAGTATAAGATTAAATGACACATTGTACATGTTAGCATACAGCTTAATATTATATATGGCGCTGGATTGTATTGTCATCTATATAATTATATAACGGGTCGGTGGCCCTTGTACGAAACCCCACCAGTTATCTCCCCTTGCGGATATTTCCAAAATTGGAAATTTTTGGAAACATCATCTTTCCAAAAGTGGAAATGTCTTGGAAACATCATCTTTCCAAAATTGGAAATGTCTTGGAAACATCATCTTTCCAAGACATTTCCAAGCTTGTAAAGGTGGATTTTTTTTCCAGTGGTGTTGATGACAGTTGTGATATCAGCAGCTGTTTGTTGGTGACAGTTGTGATATCGGTAATGTGTTGATGACAGAACTTTGTGATATCAGCCATGTGTTGATGACAGTTGTGATATTAGCCATGTTTTGATGACAGTTGTGATAGCCATGTGTTGTTGACAGTTGTGATATCAGCCATGTGTTGATGACAGTTGTGGTATCAGCCATGTGTTGATGACAGTGTTGATACCAGCAATGTGTTGATAACAGTTGTGATATCACCAATGTGTTGATGACGGTTGTGATATCAGCCATGTGTTGACGTCAGTTGTGACATCAGCCATGTGTTGATGACAGTTGTGACATCAGCCATGTGTTGATGACAGTTGTGATCAGCCATGTGTTGATGACAGTTGTGATAGCAATGTTTTGTTGACAGTTGTGATGTCAGCAGTGTTGGTGACAGTTGTGATATCAGTCATGTGTTGATGACACTTGTGATATCAGCCATGTGTTGATGACAGTTGTGATAACAGCAGCTGTGTGTTGGTGACAGTTGTGATATCAGTAATGTGTTGATGACAGAACTTTGTGATATCAGCCATGTGTTGATGACAGTTGTGATATTAGCCATGTGTTGATGACAGTTGTGATAGCCATGTTTTGTTGACAGTTGTGATATCAGCAGTGTTGGTGACAGTTGTGATATCAGCCATGTGTTGATGACAGTTGTGGTATCAGTCATGTGTTGATGACAGTGTTGATACCAGCAATGTGTCGATGACAGTTGTGATATCACCAATGTGTTGATGACGGATGTGATATCAATTGTATGTTGACCAAACTGACTGTTAATAAATATATGTTTTGTTTGACAAGCAATCTGTTTCTGTTACTAGTTTGCAATGGCTACCAACTACCTACACATCTGGCCAAGAAATGAGTTCATGATGATTGGTCTGCCCAATCAAGACAAGACATTCACTGCAACCCTGTTCATGCCGTTTCCCATGTTTGAAGAAATCACAACAGAAAGGGAACTGATGGAATTCTTTACAGAAAAATTTCCTGACTCCATACCGCTCATTGGAGAGTGAGTAATCCCTTTCAGATGTTTCAGCGAGGTTTAGTGACCTAATTCATTCTCATACAGTTCCCAGACTGCCAAGTTACTACTGAATGAAAACTTGTGTAAGGGAATACCTCTTTGCCCTAACATGCCCCACCAGTTTATTGGTTCATTTGAGCCATTGCTTTCTAAATATGTTTTTAGCAAGAACCAATTTTGAATGAGTGTTTACCATCACTGGCATTTGTCTCCATCAGCTTCAGCTTCATTCCGACATTATTGTCATCAGTTGTGTTTTCAGTATGAAGGGGCCATTGGGATGATGGAAAGGTATTTCCCTGAATTTACAAATTGAATTTTCAAATTTAATGCACTGCACTTAATAAATTAATTTAGTGATGATGCATGAAGTTATCAAATTGTAAACTGACACAGACAATAAATGCAGTTATTCATATAAGAGTTTCACTGGGAATGGCAATTGGTTGGGTAATTGGAACTGTAGGATTCTGTTTAGGCCAAAAATCTGTATTTTCTCACCTGGATTCATGGTCTAAGCGTGGTCTCAGGTCTGTTTTATACAAAGAATCACTTACTGTAAAAGTAGTTATCAATATGACCCAAAACCATTCTAAGATCAACTGTCTTTCTTGAAAAATTTTCACACTTATGTACTTTAACCTTCCAAACAGTTTATTGAAAACAGCACAATGAACTAGATTGGAAAATGTTTTATGTGGCAGGCTTACTGGCCAGATTACCATTTTATGCCCAAAATAGGAATATTTTAAGTCAAATCGTAATGTTCTATGCAAATACCATGTCATATTTCAACCAGTGAAAGAAGTGGATGCCTCACAAAAGCTTTGTAAGCTATCAAGGATATATTGAAGAATACAGAAAACAGTAGCCTGGACAGTTTTTACTCAAATTTCATGATTTACATCACTCCAACCCCATTCTATTTCACTTGATTGGAGAGGACATGTGCAAAAGGCCAAATTTGAAATAGTCAAATTGGTGAAAACTTTGTAATGTATGAATTTTCTCCTCCTTTCAAATCATTCCTCTGGTATCTGGTTTTTTTTAGGGTAATAGCGTCTCGTTGCTATAAATTTGTGTATTTTGTTTTTGACGTTATTTGTTTTTACAATATGCATCCCATTTTAAATAAATCACAAGAAAAAGTCATTGTGTCCTGTTGAAAATAAACACTTTCATGACTGTCATGTGTAAAATCTTGCAAGAGTAAAAATGCTAAGTCTACACTTAAATACAAGTAGGTTATGGACATATCACTTGTTTCTGAACATTATTCAGACCACAGGAAATATTTAGAAGACTAGATTCTGTTTTCTGGTAACGATAGAGACCACACTGTACACTGGAGAAGGCAACCTTACACAACACTATAGTCTGTTTGCAGTGAAAACGTACCGATGAATTTTACTTTAAACAAAAAAGTAAATAAAATAATGTGAAATTAAGATTGCGAATCCTCATAATTTTACCTTGCCAACTGAACATTTAAATCTCAGAGTTTTGTTCATCTTAGAATAAAAGTTGTTTAACAAACGATCATAGTTTCAAATCGCTATTATCAGTTTGTATTACAAGGGGGTAAGCGCAGTAGTTGGAACAGTGAAACAAATGCACGTGCAGTACGTGATGAGCGTTAACTCAGACCAATCTCACTTGTTCTCGATGTTTCATTTAATGTGCATTCCCCCTTGTAATATCCAAAAGCGAGCTGAATTCGACGTTCTGGTGATTTCGACGATTGCATTGCTCGCACTATATCGGGTGAGTATGTGTGGCGATCGGAGTGCACAAGCAGTTCATCGGTGAGGCGGGTGCCCAGTCACTGTCGTGAGAAGTTTTATTGAAAATGGAAATCTGGAAGTTAAGTTATTTAAAAAGCAAACAAACATCAATATTATTTACCTGAGATTGTTAATACCACTTCAGATGCAAAATCAATTGACAATATAACAAAAAATAGCAAGCGAAACTTCAGTAAGATCAGTCGTCTGCTAGTGACAGGCAATATATAAATAGGAAGCCATGTGATCACAACACTCCTGAAAAGTATGGCTCATCGTCGAAAACCCATACAAAATACCCGGATGTGGAGAGCGGCAACAATTTCGCCGATACGATGTCATGAACGCTATTTTTGTTGGGAACACTTGATATTTTTGCGTGAAATAGATGAATATATCCTTTATCACTCAGGGTTAGTAAAATAAAAACTTTAAATGATATTAAAGATAAAAAATATGTTTTTGTCTTACATCGTCGAAAACCAATGACACCGGGATACGAACCAATAATAGCGATTTTAAACTATGATCGTTTGTTAAACAACTTTTATCATAAGTTGAATAAAATTCTGAGATTTAAATGTTCAGTTGGCAAGGTAAAATTCGCAATCTTAATTTCACTTTATTTACAGTAGATCTCAAGGAAAGTTTGGTTTACATGCATGTGAGACACATGACAGAAACCACTAAGAGTATAAACAGGGAGTTTAGTTGGATTTACTCACAGACCGATATACAACATACTTTCCTAAGCAGAACACAATAAAAATAAAAATTCCAAACTGGAAATAAAATTTCCCAATTCAAGGTAATATAGGTTTAAACTACTGTTATTGCTTAAAGGTGACTCCTAATGGTCACTGCTGTCTGGGCCAGTGAACAGGAATAGATTTCAAAGCATTCTTACATTAGGCCAAAAAAAATAAATGTTGTGGTTCCGATTTCCTACATTTCAGAACTAGGGTAGGTAGGTAGGTTTTTGGTTTTTTTTGCAAAATATTTTTACATTACTCATGTGTCAGAAAATAAATTTAATGTATTATGTGGTGAGTAAAATTGTTAGGCTCGGCGGGAATATTTAGGGTCAGTCGGGAAATTGGAACCACAAGCTTTTTTTTTTTAGGCCTTATTACAATTTTCAAATACCTATGAATTCAACTTGTAAAACATTTATTGAATCAAAGTATGATTTTTTTCTAATTTGTCTGCAAAGGGCATTTTGTATAATATCCTAGATATATTTTCTGAACAATTTCAGCACTTACCTTGACAAATCCTAGAAACTTTTACCTGTCTGTCTTCTCCATGGAATGAATAAGACAAAATGCTGCCAAGTGTCCTAAAACTATCTTCTTCTGTGTCTTCTGCTTCTAACAGACATCTTTGGCAAGCTCCTCACAGCCACTGCATGTGGATGTGGCATGCATTGATGTGGAGTTTGGATCATAAGTTATGGGGGATAACTCTTACTGGTACCTGATGTTGTACAATCCACCTTGATGCTAAGAATACTGGATACAATTAAGTTCTCTTTGTCTTGAATTAATCTGTGTAATCTTTACTACTTTATAATATTCTGTTTTCATATTTTTCATCTTCTTTTTCCTTTATGTCACAGAAAACTGGAAAAGCATGCAGTGTTCAGGAAAACTTTTATCAATGTTTCTCGTGGGGGAGGTGATCTTTTGGAATTTTTAAACATTTATTGGTGATATAAAGTGGCAATGTGACTATTGCTTATATGGGGAAAATTGTTCTATTATTATTTAACTGTTTAAATAGCCAGTCATATTTTAATTATTCTTTGTGTAAAGTCTGTGCAAACAATGTTTTGACCTACTTTTATTTGTCACTTTTGTCTGTTTTGTTCTGTTAAATGACATAATGAAATATTCTAATGTCATGTCTGATTTTATCTGCGCTTAATATCGTTTGAGCGAAATAATTTGGATTTTTTTAATGAAAAAGTTAAAATGTTAGTTCCCAGTTGACCAACATTGAATTGTTTACTTCCAAACAAGAATATATTTTGTTTTCAATAAAATTCCTTATTGTGTGAAATTCTAGGACCACATCCGTTAGGACCACATCCGTACATATTAAAATAATGTCCTTTATTGTAAATTGTCAAATATAAATGAGACAAAAACAGAAGAGGATAGTTATTCTGAAGGACATTTACATGTTCAAGATTTTTTGTAGTGAAACATTTTAGTGTGGGCCTTCACAGAGGTTAAGAGCATATTCTAGACAGAGATTGTTAGAGTAGGTTGTCAAGAAACGTGTCAAGTTACAGATTTAAATGAGGGTATTAAAAACATATACAGTAAAAAAAATGTTTGTTACTAATGTATCACTTGATGACCATCTAAATAAAAAAAACTACGTCTAGAGCATTGTCTGTAACTTTTGAGCAGGGACATACCAAAAAGGTCAAAGGACACTGATGTGATAAAGGCTGTAATAACTTTGATATTTGAATAATTTTCGTTTGCTCCAATTTCTCTCAAGAGGTATGTTTATAGAGATTCACACTGGTCAAGTAAACAAGATGAAAGGTCACATTATGATTGCTAAACTTGTATAGTCAGTTGAGCACAGATCAATTGGGGTGTAATATCATGATCTGTCTGTATTTCAGAGCTGCATTAAAGAAAACCTTCCTTAGTGGTAAAGGTTTGCCAATGGTGTCTATAAAGGTAAGTTTATCATTATCCATCAGCGAAGCAAAGGTAATGTCTTGATATACACTCACATTTTTCTATTCAAGAGGAACTATGAATACATCAATATGTATTTAAATGAAGACACTTAAAAGTCATTTCATTTACATCTTCAAACTAAATGATGTCAAACTATCTAACATGTTACTTTCTAAATGAGTAGTTGAAATGTGGTTACCATAAAAATGGAAATTGACACTGACTTCTCTTCAAGGTAAATGTTAGTATTTGTGAAATACACAAAATGTGAGTGTTTGTAGAAGGCGCTTTAAATATGAATATTTGTGGCAAGTACATTAAATATGCAGTCTAAGTAAACTTAGGCTCAGTATTATTCGTTACACTGCTATATTGAGCCTAAGTTTACTTATACTGATTAGATATGAGTATTTGTGGTAAGTACATTAAATATGAGTATTTGTGATAAGTACATGAGATGATAGTATTTGTCATCCTGTGCAGTGTATTGCATGTCTTTCCATGTTGCCCATCAGGGTTAGAGCTATGAAGATTTACTTGCCAGAATAAAAATAAAATGCCCTAATAATGTTAAAAGCAATGGGAAATTGAAAAGTTTGTATTGGGCTTGAATTTATGTAGGCTAACATGGTTCCCTGATCACTAGAGGAGATATAAGCTCTGTCAAGCTGTCTGCGAGGTTATGAGATTATGATAATGAGATTATTTCTAATTATTTGTGACAATGTATTGATATGATGACAGAATTTACTGTTGACTGCTTCAGAAGCAATATGTTTAACAACTGACATGCCAATCAGCAATCCGCATCTACACAATCTGTAATGCTTAAATGAGAATAACTGAAATTGTACTGATAACCAAGCCTTTTTACTGATTATTAGATTCCAGCTGTCTAGCTGCGTTAAGGTTTATGTGCATATAAATGAAAGTGTATGTTACAGTGCTCACCATACCACTTGGGAGATAAGGTGCTACTGATGGGAGATGCTGCCCATGCCATGGTGCCATTCTATGGGCAAGGAATGAATGCTGTAAGGTCTTGCGCTGATATACCATGTCTCAAATACTCCATGTCCATCCATCAATGAGAAATATAACATAGGGCAACATTTTCTTGTGATGATAATCTGTGATATTTAATTATCTATTCGTAAGCCTTATATATACTTAAGTGAGGATGGGACCGTTCATAATCTATTTATGGGTGGGGTGGGGTGATGATGATTTTTAATTCTGTCCTCCCCCCCCCTATTACATGTGTACAAAATTGATGATCGCCCTACCTCCCCAGCTTTTAGCAATATGCCTGTCAAACAATATCACGGCGGGGGACACCAGAAATGGGCTTCACACATTGTACCCATGTGGGGAATCGAACCTGGGTCTTCAGCGTGATGAGCAAACACTTTAACCACTAAGCTACCTCACCTCCCATTCTACAGTACAACCAGAAATTATTGAGAATTTAAAGATTGTACATTTTTTTTTTCACTCATTATTCACGTATTAAATGTGAATATTAGCAGAACATAACTCCAGATTCAAAGACAAGTGAACAGTTATTATTTTGTCAAGCCACCATAGGCAGCAATGCAGGCTTCAATGCGGCGGAGCATACTACTGATCAAAGACGTTAGAAAGTCGTGGTCCATGCTCTCCCAATATCGGACCACCTCTTCTTTCATTTCAGCAATATTTGTCAGTTTTTTCTTATTGACACTTTCCTTCATAAGTCCCCAAACATTTTCTATTGGAATTAGGTCAGGGCTATAGCTTGGCCAATCTAATAATGTCATATTTTGGGTCCGAAACCAGGCCTGTGAATGCTTTGAACGATGTTTTGGGTCGTTGTCCTGCTGGAAAATCAAAAAATTTCCATAGAACACGTGAGCAGATGGAAGTATATGTCCCTCCAGAATATCTGTGTACCGCTCACTGTTCATATTCCCTTCAAACACACAGAGGGGCATTGCTCCTAACACAGATATTCCACCCCACACGTTAAATTTCGGACTGTACTTTGGGCGCTGATACAAAGGTTTTTCAGTTTGTTTCGTCCAGAATTTCAGTGTATTAGGAAACAGCCACACAGAACTTTCATCTGAGAAAATCACATTGTCCCAGTTAAAAGTTCTATGCTGTAAGCACCAGTTCAACCTTCGCTCCTTTTGTTCAGGTTTCATGATGGGTGATGGAATTCCTCGACTTTTCTGCCAACCCATTGCATGCAGCTCAGTTCTGATTGTCTCCTTACAGACTGCCACAGTTCCTCTATCAATCATATCCAACCTTAAGTTTTCTAAACTCCTTTGTTTGTTTTTAGAAACAAGAATACCAAACAGCCTCCTGTCACTGACAAAACACGATAAACAGTGGACAAAGGGATGCCCGTTCTACTTGAAATCACTTTAGCTGATCTGATGTCCTTGTTATAATACTCTAAAATCAACTTCCTCTTCTCTAAATCATCCATACTGAGGATCACTGAAAATGTCGTCTGCTAGCAAGTAAACAAAGGGGGATAACTCTGAATAAACTAATCAAAAAGGATTAACGGAGTTGTATCTCTTGGATGAAACCAAGCACTTGATAGCTGGTCAAGGTTGTTTATATTAGAAATCCAATTAAACATATTCCTAAACATCTGAATAATTTCTGGTCATACTATATCTTAAAACATTATAGAAAACTATAAACAGTGTGGTATCTACAAAAAAAAGATAAGTGGGGCAGTAGCCTCAGATAAAGGATTACCATGAGCAAGTACCAAGATAAAAGGAGCCACATGCATATGTTAGAGCTGATTGAAGTGTATGCCCAAGATTTCCCCAAGTTCCAAATACACTTTTTTGATCTTTTGGGTGTTACCACTTGACTGCATATATGCTAGAAACTGGCAGTTTGATCTATTTCAATGGATACTTTTCGATACCAGCCTAAGATTTAAGCTGCTTCAAGCTGATGTAAAGTCAGGTGAGGTGAGGTGAGGTGAGGGTGAAATGAGGTTTAACGCCGTACTTAAAAATATTTCGCTCATATGACGATGTGCATGCATGTGTAGACATGTGTGGCTGCTTGTACTACCCCAGACTTAAGCTGGTTTTATAGTGCTAGCTCACTGAAATACCATGCCGCAGTTAAGCATGAATACCCCACTCAGACACATTATACTGACTCTGAGCCAACCAGTCCTTGTTTTTACCCATTAATGTCGAGCGTCAGGCAGGGAATAACAAGTACCATATGTAACTTCTTCTGGTATGACGCAGCCGAGGATCAAACCCGCGACCCTCCGCTCTCTGGGTGGATGCTCTAACCACACACAACAGAGGCGGTATGTAGAGTGAGGATGTACTGATGACATGAATGGTTTTCTGCCTGCTGCCTGCATGAGGGTGTGGTAATTGGTGAATGCAACTTAATTACATGTTTACATGACATTATAATTATGAATAGATATTCACATATACAAGGCATACATAAATAGATAGTATTTACAGGCTTGCCATAGGGCCATAGTCGGTGTTACATTGACCATTCTTTCTTTGCAGACATTACATATAGATAAGTGGGCATAACTACATAAAACATAAGTAGGCATGGGTACATAATGTTATTTCGTATTGTATATGAATTACAACTTGTGTATGTTTGACTACCTCTGGTAACATACAAGGTATAAGTCATTTAACATTACCCATTATTTCTCAACAGATGTTTAAAGCAACTTAATGGCCTGGTTCTACTGTGTCGAAATGCAATTATCACATGCTGCTCCCCTTGTGAATCATGCCAGTGTCACCTCTAAACACAATGCTAGTCTGCATTCAGCAGGAATCTTGCAACCACAATGTATAGATGCTGCTGTGGATCTATAAATTACCTAGATCGTCCTGAACCACAGACACTGCAGCAGCTTGCATATACACTGGGTCATGTCAGCTAACATCACCCACTGTCTGAGCCATTTCTAGTGTCCCCGCTGTGATATTGCTGGAATATTGTTAAAGTGGCGCAAAATCAAACTCACTTACTCACTCACTCACTCATCAAGTGTTTAGAGCGTCCAGTAATGTAACTAAATTTCCGCCCTGCCCATGTCTGGTTAAACATTTCCTTTTTAGAAGTTTATCAGAAACATATTTATGTAAAAGTTACAACTGTTTCAGGGGTTTGAAGATCTGCTTGTGTTTGATGAAATACTGGACCAGTGTGAAAATGACCTGTGTAAGTATGATATGACCTCTGAGATGTAGGTAGAATCTGTCAAAAGTGAATAAAGTTAATGATTCAATTTATGGATGGCAATGGCAAAGTGGTGAGTCAGTAGAGCCCCCTTGTGAATTTGTGACAGTCATAACACTTCTATACATTGAATATATTGTGTGTCAGTACAACGACCATCTAGTGAGTCAGTACAACCACCAACATGTGAGTCAAGTTCAACCACAGTGCCTTGAAAGAGTACAGTGACCATGTGATATAGCATAATAACCATTTTGTGAGTCAGTACAATGACACTCTGGTGAGTCAGTACACTGACCCTGTCGTGAGTCAGTACAATGACCCTGTCATGAGTCAGTACAATGACCCTGTGCTGAGTTAGTACACTGACCATGTTGGGTGTCAGTGCAATGACCCTGTCGTGACTCAGTACCATGACCCTGTCCTGAGTCAGTACAATGACCCTGTAGTGAGTCAGTACACTGACCCTGTAGTGAGTCAGTACAATGACCCTGTAGTGAGTCAGTACAATGACCCTGTAGTGAGTCAGTACAATGACCCTGTAGTGAGTCAGTACACTGACCCTGTAGTGAGTCAGTACAATGACCCTGTAGTGAGTCAGTACAATGACCCTGTAGTGAGTCAGTACCCTGTAGTGAGTCAGTTGCAATGACCCTAATGTAGTGAGTCAGTACAATGACCCTGTAGTGAGTCAGTACAATGACCATGTAGTCAGTACAATGACCCTGTTGGGTGTCAGTGCAATGACCTGTAGTGACCCTGTCCTGAGTCAGTACAATGACCCTGTGCTGAGTTAGTACACTGACCATGTTGGGTGTCAGTGCAATGACCCTGTCGTGACTCAGTACCATGACCCTGTCCTGAGTCAGTACAATGACCCTGTAGTGAGTCAGTACACTGACCCTGTAGTGAGTCAGTACAATGACCCTGTAGTGAGTCAGTACAATGACCCTGTAGTGAGTCAGTACAATGACCCTGTAGTGAGTCAGTACAATGACCCTGTAGTGAGTCAGTACAATGACCCTGTAGTGAGTCAGTACAATGACCCTGTAGGGAGTCAGTACAATGACCCTGTTGTGAGTCAGTACAATGACCCTGTAGTGAGTCAGTACAATGACCCTGTTATTAGTCAGTACCCTGTTATTAGTCAGTACAATGACCATGTTGTGAGTCAGTACAATGACCCTGTTATGAGTCAGTACAATGACCCAGTTATGAGTCAGTACAATGACCATGTTATGAGTCCATGCAATGACCATGTTGGGAGTCAGTACATTGACCCTGTCATGAGTAAGTACAATGACAATGTTGTGAGTCAGTACAATGACCATGTCGTGAGTCAGTACAACAACCCTGTAGTAAATCAGTACACTGACCATGTCGTGAGTCAGTACAATGACCATACTGAGTGTCAGTGCAATGACCATGTTGTGAGTCAGTACAATGACCATGTTGTGAGTCAGTACAATGACCCTGTCGTGAGTCAGTATAATGACCATGTGGGTGTCAGTGCAATGTAGAGATTCAGTACAACAACCTATAGGTCATTACAACTGCCATGGTAACTTAAATCATGTTAAAGTAAGTTGTATATGTATAAATGTGTCATGACTGTTTTGTTTTACAGCTGCATCTATTGAACAGTTCACAAACTTCAGAAACAAGGATGCTCAAGCTATCTGTGATCTTGCCATGTACAATTACATTGAAGTGAGTGAGTCTGTGTTCAGATGTTTACACCTTTGAGGTAATTAATCTATGTGTGTATGTGAAATATATGCTTAAAGTAGACATGTTACGTTTACTAAAAAGATAATTCCAATCTCTTTGCAATCTTATCCTTTAGCCTGGTTCGTTCTTCATCGAGATCCCTTAAAGTCAATCAGCTTGTAGGCCTCTTATACTGATCACATCAATTAATTTTTTTTCAGTATTGAAGTCTCAGGCTCATTTACAAACAATAATTGAACAGTTTTTATAGACGTGTGCATCAAAAAGGTTAATTATAGTAATTGCAACAAGAACATGGAGCATATTTCTCAGTGTATGTTCACACATGTACTTTATGAATGGAGAATTAACATGTAAATGTGGGCGAAACTTCAAACGCATATCTTTTTAAATTAGAGATAAGAACGCAAAATATATTTCATTTTCAATCTGTTTGAACTTACACAAATATAGACAAAACAAACAGTCTTGTCAATACCAGTTTTCCTTCAGGTATTGTAAACAATGGAGAATAATAATCGCCATGCTATGTTCTTGATATTTTACACTTCTGAGTGCCATGGAGTTTGCAATCAAAGTGAGCATGTTCATGGGAAATTTTGATAACTGAATTATTGATTTAAGGAAAGATGTGGTAAGGAAATTTGTACAGTGACAGTTGCAGAATTGTTGTAGAAAGCTGCCGTCAGATTGAATAGAAAACCAATGAATCCTTCTTTTTCATCGGGTGTACTGCAGGGCGATGGGGTTACCTATTGTGACTCTTGTCGAGGGCCTGGTACATGTTTATGGAGGATAGGTACTGAATCAAAGTGAAACATATGATATACACTTTGTCATATGCTGTACAGATGGTAAAGATGTATTGTAAATATTTCAGATGAGGAAGTCTGTGAACTCACCACTGTTCCTGTTGAGGAAGCGGATTGATAATATGTTGTACACACTCTTCCCAAACTCCTGGATCCCTCTGTATACCATGGTAAGACCATTTGTAACATATTCATACTCTCTCATGATCACTGGTTACAGTTTGTACCATGGTGAGTTCATGTATACCACAGTAAGACCATATGTAATATATTCCTATTCTCTGTTGACCAAAGTTTGCTCTTTGAACCATGGTGGATTCATGTATTAGTGACGTCAGAGACATGTGATTACTGCTGATTGACAAAGTGAGAGAAAATGAAAATCTATAATTTACAAAATCTATGATTTTTTCAAGGATGAAAATGACAGGGGGTGACCCAAGTATGCAATTACTACATCCCAGTACATCAGCGTTGTTTCAGCGTTGAGAATAGAATTGATCCTCAGCGTTGAAAATAGATTGAAAATACGTTGTATATGAAAGTTTTTTGATGTAGATATCCGGCGATGGAATCAACGTTGAAGTTTGACTGATTATCAGCGTTGAAAAAGGTTGATCCTCAACGTTGAAAATAGATTGAAAATAGGTTGTATATGTGTAATAATCTCCATATAAAACAGATAAAAGCGTGGTCCATACTTTTAATCCGTCAGCTTGTTCATATTGACAATATGGCTACACCACTAGAAGCGAGAAACCCAAACATTCCCAAAATCATAATTCACTATAAAATCCGAAACATGCAACCACTGATAACTTTAAAACGAAATGAGATCATATTACATCCCTTCTTTTGAAGAAAAGGAATTTACTAAATAACACATCTTGTACATTCTGGTGTTCAATTATCAAACTATAATGTGACTGAATGGTCTTGAATCAGTTCATATCCACTACAACAATATGACTTTCTAATTTCACCACTGTTTCACAATACTAGTTATTCTGACATAAAAATCACAATAAATTATCACTTCTGCTGAATATCCTGAACTGTTCAAAGATTTAAATCAGTTATCATATTTCAATATTGCTCAATAAATCTATCTGGTTTCTTGACCATTCTACCACCCCTAGTGCAATATTGTCCACTATCAATGTTCCTAGTGGTCAGTACACTGTCTCCAGTGCATCCATCAGCATGTTGATTGTCCTCATCAGACCTGACTGACTGAGAAGTCTCACTGGAGTGTTCATCTAGTGCAAACCTCACTTTTCTGGGTGTTCCCAGCATCTCTACATAAAATGGTGCCTGTTTCTTCTTAAGACATTGCCATTTGGGTTTCTACCATATACGACCTGGGCTCACTACACTTGGCAGATATCCTACCAGGTACCATCTCCCAGTATCTTGATCTTGAGTCAAGACTTTCTGACCAACACTCAGCGCGGGCAAATCTTTCACCCTTTTCTGTCGTGGTAGTATTTCTGCAACTGCTGTCTATCCTGCAATCTATTCGCATGATTGCATCCTTCTCACGGTGATTATTTGCAATCAATACAGGTAAGATTCCTTGCAGCTTCCGACCATTTAGAATTTCACCTGGTGATGGAATAGTACTGTCAGCAGGGGTTGTTCTGAGGCTGAGCAAAGCTAGATCAGGATCAGTTCTAGACTGCTTTGCCTTGATAAGACACTGTTTTACAGTTTGCACCATTCTCTCCACAAATCCATTACTTTGTGGATACCGCGGACTAGATGTCACATGATCAGAAACACCACTGGTCAGCGGCCCTAAATTCCCTCACAGTCAAACTGTCTCCGTTATCGCTGATAACCTTGCTGGGTATCCCTGTTCACCAAACAGTTGTTTACATTGATCTATGACAGCCCTACTTGTACACTGACCATGTATCCCTGGTACAAAAATGACTTGGAGTAGTAGTCAGTAATCAACAGATTCTCACATTCATCCGAAATGAAACAAATCCATTCCCACTGTATGCCACGGTCTCTGGGGAATATTATGAGGGTGTAATGTTTCATGTGACTGAGACTTTTTATTCTCTTGACAAATCATACAGCTTTCCAACAGTTCCTCAATCTCCTTGTTGATACCTGGCCAGTATATGCATGACTTGGCACGGAGTTGACACTTGGAAACACCTTGATGACCAATGTGCAGTTGTTGTAGCGCTTCACGCCTCATCGCAGGTGGTATCATAATCCTCTCACCTTTCAGCAAGAAGCCATCCTCTATAGACAGCTCATGTCGACAGGACCAAAATGGACCGAATAATTTGCGAACTTGCTTTGCATCTTCTTTGAGGGTTATATGACACTTACCAGGAACTGACCAATGCCTTCAAATCTGTCAGGGTATAAATTCTGCAGGGTTTCCTTGTTAGGGATAGGTACTGATTTATCCACACTGTGCACTGAAGTGGTGGAGCAATTTGGTGTAATTATATTCAGAGCAAGGGTAGAAGGGAGACCAAAGTAGAATAGGACCTGGCGCATCAGCAACAAAGAATTCAGTGTCAACCAGTTACCGTTAAATCCACATTCTAAAATGACACTACCATACTGCGGTATGTCGGTACCATTATCGCACTCAGTTTGACATGTTGAGCCTTTGTGGTACCATATTTGGGAAAACCTAATGCATCAAGGTACTCTGGAAACATCCTTCTGTATACACGAAGTGGGGTAGATTTCCTTGTGCGCCTGTCTACTTTGACCTTCATGGTGTGATTACCTTGACAGTTATCCAGCTTCACATCCAAGTTTACTTTCAGCTCATCTACATCGTGCTTTAGCGACCCCATCAATAAAAGTTACTGTTTCAAAATGGAAGTGTTCAAAATCCTCTCTCCCACACAGTCTATATCATGCTGTTTTGTGTCTGTTGATGTGTCTGTTTCCTGTAGCTATATTGTGATATGTCTTCATCACCCCCTGTGACTGTCGTCCACTACTCTTCGACCTCGACTGTTGTCTGCGCCTTGACTTACTACGTCTATGCTGCTGTCTGCCTCTAGCCTGTTGACACATTTCCTTCCAATGCCCACATTTACCACACATCTTGCATCTACTGTTACTTGCTGGACACTTGCTTCTAGATACAAAAGAGTGTTTTGGTCCACAATACCTGCAAATCGTTGAATCTCGTCTGTTTGCAAAATCTTGCCATCTAGATTCTTGAATTGTGACATGTGATTAACAGCTTGCCTCATGCAGCCTTCAATATCAATGGCCTCTTGGAGGTTAACTTTTCATCACGCCCTAATAGTGTTTTCTGCACCTCTGTGCGGCACACCAGCAATGAGAACCTCAATCATTCTCTCCTCCATTGCATCATTGTCTTTAAACAGACACTTCATAGCTTTAGCCTTAGACCTTGTGATAAAGAGTCATCAATAGTCTCACTTACTTTTTGTTTGTAACGAAGAAATTCCAGTCTGTGAATTCTGAAATTTTTCAGATGGCTCAATTTGGGAAGAGAATTTATCCCACAAATTCTTAGGATTTTTTTAAGTTTTCTTCAGAGAGATTCCAAGTGTTAAACATCCTAAGACCTTCCTTGCCAGACCATAAGATGATGTAGCTATGCTGATCTTCTGGCTTGGTACCTTTAATTTTGAACCAAAGTTCACTCGTTTGTTTAAAGTCTTTAAATGCCTGACCCCTGTCTGGGTGTGACCAGTCCATGCAAGGTGATGGCACTGACTCCGCCATAGTGATTTTATGTGCGCTTCAATATTACACTGCACAAAGTACGTTGTCAGTCCTCATGGCTGCTGAAGTCGAAACAGCACGCCGACTGGTACATTGACTCCGTCCGAGACATGTCACACAATCATGAGCGAAATTTAGTGGGTGATGCGTAGGCCTGATCTCACCTCTGCCACCATGTAATAATCTCCATATAAAACAGATAGAGCGTGGTCCATACTTTTAATCCGTCAGCTTGTTCATATTGACAATGTGGCTACACCACTAGAAGAGCGAGAACGAAACATTCCCAAAATCATAATTCACTATAAAAACGAAACATAACCACTGATAACTTTAAAACGAAATGAGATCATATTACAATATGAAAGTATTTTTGACGTAGATATCCGACGTGGAATCAACGTTGAAGTTTGACCGATTATCAACGTTGAGAATAGGTTGATCCTCAACGTTGAAAATAGATTGAAAATAGGTTGTATATGAAAGTTTTTGGGCGTAGATATCCGACGATGGAATCAATGTTGAAGTCTGACATATTATTAACGTTGAAAATTGGTTTTTCCGTGGTTGTGTCTGGGAGGTATTACGCTTTCCTGTAAATAGACTCGCACTTCATCTTTAAACTACAATAAAGTAGCACCAAACTCCTGCATCCAGCTAAAATACCCAAAAGCTACCTGCAATAAACAGTGTTCAAACAGAAAATTGCAGTAAAAATTTTTACCTGATAAAATACTTGGTTAAAATTCCACGTTCAATATAATGTTCATTTAAGTTTTATGTCAGTTGGACATATAATCCAGTAAGAAGAAAAGAGTATTCCAAATTAACAAAAACTATTTACTGTTGTATTGTTACCTTGAAAAGGTGAAAATTGTCCTGAAAGACATTTTGTCTGAATTTCAGCTCTTAGACAGACCCTGAATAAACACAATGCAATTACCTTCACCATGAAAGGGATCCAAGATGACCAGGAACTATACCTGAAGACAGCACATAAAACAAGTCACTTTTCATGAAATCTTTATGAACACACACGCACACAGAAAACGTGGTTTAATGCATAATGTAAAACATCACACATGACATTGTCTGTAGGTGATCTCTGTTGTGCTAATAACACAATATCATCTGCATATAGCATCAAAGTGACATTTACGCCACCAATTTCAATACCACAGTTCAGATTTTTCAACACAATTACAACTCCAAAAAACACAATTATCAGCTCCTCTTCTTTCTGCCACTCCCTGCCTGGCGGTCAGGTGGATACTTCAGAAACGTTCCTAACTCTTTCTTGAAATTTGCCTCGATTGCATTCCCATCTCATTCCCTTGAGATGGGACACATTCTGAAATTTTATATTTAAATACATGAATAAGTTATATGGAAGATATATTGTCTTAAATGATTCAAGTATTTGTTTAAT